AATAAATAATACTAGCTAAAATTCAAGCAGTGATAGACGAGTTCTCCATGGTTTTCTCAGAACCAAAAGGCTTACCTCCACTCAGGTTTAACGACCATCACATTCCAATTAAAGAAGGAGCACAATCCTTCAACTTGAGGCCATATAGGTGCCCCTACATACAAAAGATTGAAATCAAAAGGCTGGTTAAAAGATGAAGGATAGTGGGATAATCCAGCCAAGCACCAGCCCTTATGCATCTCCTGTCTTGCTGGTTAAGAAGAAAGATGGCACTTGGAGGTTTTGTGTGGACTATAGGCAGCTTAATAGCTTTACCATTAAGGATAAATATCCTATGCCCCTGATTGATGAGTTATTGGATGAGTTAAAGGGATCAAAATGGTTTACTAAGATAGACTTGAGAGCAGGGTAACGCCAAATCAGAATTGCTAAAGAAGACATTCACAAAATAGCTTTTAAGACACATGAAGGACTCTATGAATTCAGAGTAATGCCTTTCGGACTCACAAATGCCCCTGCCACTTTCCAATGCCTAATGAATGAGGTTTTCAGGGGACAACTCAGGAAATATGTGTTGGTCTTCTTTGATGATATATTGGTCTACAACAAGGATTTGGAAACCTACTGCAAACATGTGTTTGAGGTCTTAAAGCTACTGAAGGAACACCAACTCTATGCTAAGAGGAGTAAATGTTCGTTGGCCTGTCCAAAATATAATACTTGGGGGCATATTATCACAGCTGAAAGAGTGTTTGCAGACCCCTCCAAAATTGCTACTATGCAAGAGTGGCCTACACCTTCGAATGTCAAACAATTAAGAGGATTCTTAGGGCTTACATGCTATTATAGGAGGTTTGTGAGGGGATATGGCCAGGCCTCTAACGGATTTGTTGAAAAAAGATAAGTTTTAGTGGAATGAAGCAGCCGATCAGGCTTTCCAAGAATTAAAGCATGCTATGAGTACTACTCCTGTATTGGCCTTCCCAGATTTTACCATTCCCTTTGTGATAGAAACTGATACATGTCATGGTGGAATAGGGGTTGTTTTAATGCAGGATAGACGACATATTACCTACCTAAGTAAAGGTTTTAATAGTAGGAAGTTTGTCATGTCTATATATGAGAAGGAACTCCTAGCACTTGTAACAATAGTTGAGAAGTGGCGACACTACCTAGAGGGACATCACTTTATCATAAAAACTGATCATCAATCCCTTAAATATTTGCTGGAGCAAAGAATTACAACCCTAATGCAGCAGAAATGGCTAACCAAGCTATGGGTCTTAGCTATAAGTAACAATATAAAAAGGGGATAGACAACAAAGTAGCAGATGCCCTATCCAGAAGAGAGAATAATGAAGAACATGAATGTTCTGCCATCACAACAATGACCCCAGCTTGGATCCACGAAGTGATCACAAGCTACCAAGGAGATGAGAAGCTAGGAGCAAAATCACTGCCTTGCTCCTTGATGAAAAATCAGAAGTAGATTATACCTACAAGGATGAGTTGCTTAAGTATAAGTCCAGGATTTACATTGGCTTTGAAGTAGGTGTGAGGAAAAAATCAATTGAGGCTATACACTCATCTCAAGAAGGAGGTTACTCTGGGGTTCAGGCCAGCATTCACAGGGCAAAAACTCATTTTTCTGTCCTAAAATGGTGAAGGAAATCAGACAGGAGGTCCTGGAATGTAACACATGTCAAAGGTGTAAATGGGAGCATGTTGCCTATCCTGGCCTGCTGCAACCATTATCGGAACAACAATATCCTTGGAGCCACATCTCCATGGACTTTATAGAAGGACTGCCCAGTTCTGGAGCCAAGAATGCCATCTTGATGGTGGTAGATAGGTTCACCAAATACGTCCATTTCCTATCTTTAACACACCCCTTCTCAGCTACCAACGTTGCAAAGCTATTCCTAGATAACATCTTCAAGCTTCATGGGATGCTAAAGAGCATCATTTCAGACAGAGACATAATTTTTACAAGTACATTTTGGCAAGAATTATTTAAACAGCTGGGAACTAAATTACAACCGAGCTCTGCATATCACCTTCAAACGGATGGCCAGATGGATAGACCGAATCAGTGCCTTGAAATGTACCTTAGATGCATGGCTCACCGCCATCCAAGTAGTGGAATAAGTGGATGAGTATGGCGGAGTGGTGGTACAATACCACCCTCTACACCTCTATTAAAATGACCCTTTTTTAGGCTCTTTATGAATTAAACCTCCTCAATTGGAGTTAGACTCATACCAACAAATCAACGTGGCATCAGTAGATGAATTACTTCAAGAAAGGCACAATATGGACCAACTCCTCAAAGAAAATCTGGCACAAGCCAGAGCTCGGATAAAGTTGTATGCTGATAAACATTGGAGTAAAAGGAATTTCAGCTGGGAGACTGGGTACACCTTAAACTACATCCCTTTGCTCAACAATCTGTAGCTAGGATTGTTAATAAGAAGTTGGCTACTAAATACTATGGACCTTACAGAATAACCCAGAAGTTGGGAAAAGTTGCGTACAAGTTAAAATTACCCGCTGAAGCTCAAATTCATCTTGTCTTTCATGTATCATTATTGAAAAAGAAAATTGATCAGAAGGAGGTACCAATTTTTGAGTTACCAGAGCCAAAGAGGATCGCTAGTCCTCCTCGTCTGAACCTTGGGGACAAGGTTGGTCTAAGGGGGAGGGATGTTACAAAGAGGATGAAGAGGATCATTGGAGATGGCTGCAAAGAACAAGAGAAGCAGATGCAAACCAAGAGGAAAAGAAGAAGAAAAGGAATAACGGTCACAACCAAAATTCAAATGGAAAACGGCGTCGTTTCGAGCTAGGGATTAAAGTGTCATTTTTAATAATTAGTGGTGTCGTTTTGATTTGTAATCAATTTCATATATCAGTCTTGTTTTCCTTCTCTCATTCACGTTTTTTCCTTCTTGTAGGTTAGTTATATAGTTGTAATGTGGGGAGTTAAAAGTGTGATGTGAATTGGAATTCTTCCTCTCCAAGTCTTCTTCTACTTTCTCTCTCCATTTCTTTGTAATTTCTTCTACTATTAACTTTTACAAATAATAAAATTGCAATTGTTATTTGAGTTTGATTGATTCAGTTAGTGAGTAATTGGTGTGGTGTTTAGTGTCAACCATTACAAAAAATTTCATAAGCTGACCTATCTTCTTTAAGTGTTGAGACTGTGGATGTGTAACGGCATAGTGCAGATTACATAATTTATATGAATAATCATGCAGGGGCTATTTCGTAAAAATGCACATACATGCTTGCTAGATCGAAGTATGGAAGTGTTTGGACAAGGTGGATATTGTATTTTTGATATATTGGTTCAATGAGATTTTAAATATTGGATGAGAAGAAGAGTGTCAAATATGTTTCTAGAATAAAAGAGATATTTAAGAATATAGAATTATAGAAATAATAAGCCCGTGAAGGTATACTATGAAATTATGGAATATGGTTTTTGACTACGAATTAAGGTGTGACTCAAAGTTATCAAATTATCAGTTTGCTATATGTCAGTGATATCTACTTTGGGAACCTTTTAACTTCTTAGGAGATTTATGCAGAAGTACAAATAAAACCTATGGTAGGGCGCCAAGGAAAGTGTTAATGATGGATGCTATAGAGAAAGAACTTTTGTAAGCTATGATGCTCAGTCTCGGGTACGGGTATCGGGTACGGATACGTATCTAAGTGTCGGATCTTTTATTTTCTAAAATGTAGGATACGGGGACATGGCTAAAAAGAATCCAAATTTCAAACTCGAGTACTTGGGTAAGTCTTTCAAACTTCAATTTTTTTACTAATACAAGATGTCATTTTGAATATACTAAAATTAATTATTCACAATAAAAAGAAATGAGTATTTAATAAGGGTTTAAGACGAATAAAATAGAATTTTGGGGTTTAGTTTTCAATTATGGGAATTACTAAATGATATATAAAATAGAAAATGAGGAACTTGATTGTAATTTGGACTTAATGAAGTACTAAGTAGTACTATATGGAACNTTGATTGTAATTTGGACTTAATGAAGTACTAAGTAGTACTATATGGAACCCATTTTCATTTTATACAAACAAAACCTTAAACCACCAATACAAAGAGAGAAATAAGAAAAAAAGAAGAAAATGAAAAGAAGAAAGAATGAAGAAGAAAAAGAAGATAGAACCTAGCGCCGCAGCCTTTCTCCACTCTCTTGGCAATGACGCTAGGTTTATAGAGAGCAAAAGTTGGAAAGAAGAAAAGGAAAAGGAAAAAAAAGAAGAAAGAAGAAAAAGAAGGAAGAAGAAGCAAAAACGAATAAGTGTCTGGTTGAAATTTGGAGGATCCGACACATATCCCATACCTATACCCCTGTCGTGTCGTGTCCGACATAGGTACTCCAACTATTTAGAAGGATCCGAGCATCAGAGTCTGTAAGATATATCAACATGAGAATGAGATGTAGTCTAATAATGCTCTTTGCTTTTTTGTCTCTTAATCTTACAATATAAGCCTAAAGGTTTGCTATTACAATAGATGTGCTCTACAAACGTTTGGGAAAGTTTGGTCCCTGTTCTAACTCCATCATGACAAGCTTGATTAGTAAAGCCGTTATAGAGCTTTAGAAATGGCATGCACAAGCTGACTCACTCCTTTACTGCATTCTACTAATAAGGGCTGACCCGATTCTATTCCAATACAGTTCCGACTTCCATGAAAGAGACGTTGAGAGATGTAGAAAAGAAGTGAAAAAGGTTTGAGTTGTGACTTCAATTTCTTCTTGCACAAAGTCTCTAGTCATTGATGTAGATGAAAAAGATCCCAAAGAAAGTTGAAATAGTTGTGCAATAAATGAGAATAAGAGTGCACCTTTAGATTCTGGGATTGGAGTTGCTGGATCCATTTGGTAGCTTTAGCATCGTTGAAACTCTTTAGCACTTCTTTCTCTTTCCTTCTCTGCTTGCATACTGTTTCTTCTTTCCAAGCCATGCTTGCAATGCAATGGAGATCTGTGAGAGAGATGTCTTATGTCAGTACAAATTGTGCTCGCAGGCTCATGATGGTCCTCTTTCATTCCAGTCTCCAGTTTCCTTATGGTCTGGTAAGTGAGCTTCTCTTGTGTATAGAGATGTACTAGACACCAGACTGATAGACATAACTTGATCTTAATTTTGAAGGCAGAATATGAGGCTTTGTGGTCCTCCTAATTTAGTTTACATTTTGTACTTTAGACTAAAAATTTATGTACTATCACAGAATCATATATTTCAATTTCAAGTTATGAATTCTACATTTATTTGGGCTATTTTGGACCTTTTGAATGCTGCCATCTTTTATCCTAGTAAAGTTTTGAGCTTCCTTTGTTGCAAAGCATTAATGAGTTTCTGAATCTACTATTATAGGCATTCACACCTGAAGTATGTTACAGCAACACATTCCCTTGTGCATATTGTGAGCTCAGTATGTTACAATACATGTCATTGTACCTCAATAATTATTACTTGTTAGTTTCACTATCTATTGTAACACAAGATCTTGTTGTATTTGCAAATTAGACATCATTTGATGATTCCTTATGGTTGGTTGTTGACCGCCTTGGTGATGATTTTCAAATCTTATTCCCTGGTCGGAAAATTTTTCCCGTTTATGTTATGCTTGTTCCTGTTTGTTGATAGACTCACAAAATTATTGGTTCTTGTTCAGATGCCTTTGATCCCTTCTTCCATACAGGTAGTTTGAGCCAAGTCCTGAAGATGATGGACAACCCCTTCATGTCAACAGGCTGTGGAAGGGGAGTTGGGGTCGAAATAAGTAGGGGATGGGATTTGCCAAGTAGACATGCCTGGACTTGACAAGGATGATCAAGTTAAAGTCTCTGTGGAGCAGAACACCATGGTTATCCAAGGGAAAGGTGAAAAAGAGTTTGAGAGTGAAGAATATGTAAGAAGATACTCGAGCATCTGCATAAACCCGATGGGATAAAGTCTGAGATGAAGAATGGGATGTTGAAGGTTGTGGAAGAAGAGAGGAAAGATGTGGTTAAAGCTAATATCAATTGGTGATGTGTTGCCTGAATAAAAGGTTCTGAGCATTTTTATTTAATCCTTGTTTCTCTGTAATAATCTCTGAATAAAAGGTTTGTAAATCTTGTTCTGTTTTCTTCACTGTTCCTTGAAGCTTAGCCATCTCATGTCTTATCGAGATGTTTTAATTTATTTAAGTCAACAAAATGACTATAACGATGAAGTTTAAATAATTAGCCACTTTCAATCAACAAAGCAGAAATAAAAATGCACAAATCAACAAGAAGAACAAGTAAAGAACACGAGATTTTTCGCCCTAAGGAAAAGGTTCAGAACCGGAATTCCTAATCCCCTTTTGAGCTTCCGCCAACCCGAAGAATCACTATATTAATCGAAATCAAGAAACTGTTCAGAATACACCAGACACTCAGACGAAATCATCCAAGATTACATCAAAAAAAGAAAAAGCCCTCAAACTGATCGAAACAACAATCTACTTAAGGATACAACAATAGCCATTTCCAAATCACTCAAGATCTATACAAGAGACTATATAGCTTATAGATTTAAAATGAGAGAATGAACAACCATACTCAAAACTCAAACCCTAGTATATGAGAAGTTTCCATAAGGTCAGCCAATCCAACGGTTCGTGGGGCGACATTTCATCCATCCAACCATTTAGGAAAAACGCATAAAGGTAAAACACGCTTATAACCGGATGAAAACAGAAGTCACCAAGCAATCAAATAATAACAGTTCAGCCTAACAAGAATTATCCAACAACCAAGCCATCAGACCAACAGACGCCTAACTTAATAATACAATCAAGTTCCAACAGCACCATCAGTGTAATGTTTCTCCACAATCTCCACCTTGGTACAATGACCCCAGTTTCATCTATAGTGATTTCTCCATCATGACATCATTT